AAAGAAAAAGAAAAAGAAAGATTTCAGAGTGCAGAGCTAGGTCAAGCTTTGCGCATGCCCATCCACCCAGCATTTAGCTGAATGGTTTTGCACACACTGGGAACTGAACAAATACCTGGCCATATAAACACGGTGGAAAGACAACTGGATTTGGAAACAGAAGACCTCAGTTTTAGTTGGCTCAAGTACTAGCTTTGCATCTCCACTGCACCGCTGCCATATGACCACGGGCGTGTCATCTACCCTACTGGAGATTTAGTTTTCCAGTGCTAAGTCATCTTTAAGTCGCCTCCCATTGCTCACACTCTCTGACTTTATTTGTGGATTGACTGATGTTTTCATCAGTTGGCTAACATCAACTCCCCTGGGTTACCAGCAGTGCCACCAACTGGTCTACCTGTCTTGTTCCTCTTCAGTCTGATGGCCACACTTCAGCCAGAATCGTCTTTCTAATCAGCTTTCTTACATAAACCACATGATTTCATTCCTCTGATTATAATACTTTTCTACAGAAAAGCACTTGGTTTAAAAGTCCAAACTCACTGATGTGGATTTACAACCTGGCTTTACCCTGTCCCCCAATTCAGCCACACCCTCAGCTCCTCCAGCCCTTTGCAGATGCTGTTTCTTCTGCCTGAAGGTCTTTTCCACATCTCTTTTGACCTATTCTTACTCATTACTTGGGCCTCAGCTTAGGCCGTGCTTCCCTTTAAGAAGCCAGTCCTGCACACCTCTCTGTGTGCCCGTAGCATCCTGGGCTTATGCCTATTACAGTCCTATCACCTGTCTCCCACTGTCTGATATGCTCCTCTTTCCCCGGCAGCCTCTAAAGGTAGCAGGTTTCCTGAACATCACTGTATCCTCTGTATTTTAGCATAGTGCCTGGAGCTGGTGAACGACTGAATGGATAAAGGATGCACTTGTACCTGGTTCCCATCTTGTCACATTTCTTTCTTCAACCTCCTAATTAACTGCATCATGGTGACACCTGCCCAGGTACTGACAAACCAACCTCCTGGCTACTACTTCTCATTATAGCCACTGCAATTTTCCCCAATAACAGCAGTGGCCTTAGGTGCTTTTTATCTTCTTGGTCCCCAAAAAGGAAAAGAACAACAGGGGTCAGATATGTGAACTGATAATCAACTTACAAGTCCTTAGGTAGAAGACATTAGTAAGTAAAAGGTAATAACTTATATATATGAACTACAAAATTTACACTTTGCAATAAAGAGTAAGTTAAACACCACCAAAAATGATACAGCATACGAATTCATGTGTATAATCAGCTAGCTTCTCCTTTGCTTCTCTTCAACACACGCAAGAACAACAACAAAAAAATCTTTATGTGTCTATACTCTTACCCCAATCCAGGTCCCAGATACTCTGTCTTTAGGGATATATTCCTTTGTGTGAAGCCAGATATGGCAAACACATAGCATATATCTTACCACTGTCCATTGTCATGCTATTGAAAGTCATTGCCTAATAATCAAGCAAATTTTTCTTGGTAGTGCCTCAGAATCCTTCTCAACAGAGTGCTCCAGACATCAACTATCAGTAGGTCCCAAGCTTAAGCTTCGTTCTCTGAAAGTTCCTTTGTTAAAATGTAAAGGCTTCAGAGGCTGAAGAACAACATAGAGCACCGGAGTCTTGGGGTAGATTTATTGAGCAAGTGCTTTCTTCAAGATGGGAGAAGAAAGATTTGGGTACTCGGGGAAAGAGGGGCACAGAAGGGTGGGAGGGGTAGACACCACAAAAGGGAAGGAAGGGTTAGGGAGAAAACAGCAGATGAGGTCTGGACACCAAGTTTGTTTGCTCTAAGAAAGAGGCTGGTCGAGTCCATAAAACAGGCACTGCTAGAGCCCAGGTTCTTTGAAATGCACTCTCTCTCGGCTTCCGTCCCTGACAGAGCACTGAACTGAACTAAACTTCCTCGCATATAGGGATCGGAGGGTTGTCCAGATTGTCACACATGAATAGCTTGTGTGAGTCTAGAGAAGGAACACTGATTAGCTTCCAATCTGCAGGTCTTGTGTTCAGCAAGCCTCTTTCTTTCAGTAGGAACAAAAGCATGGTACCAGATGAGAAGGTTATAGAATGGAAGAAAAGTTTCTCAGTCACTGGGTGAAAGGCCAAGCACGTTCCCTTGATTATAGACTATTGGGCAGCATTTCTGAAAATGAGTGTTGCCAGGTGGTTGAATGATGAAATCTAGGCCAGCTACTGAAATCGTCTCCCATGCATCGCCCAAATGTGTTCTAGGAGCTCTGATGCCAGCTGCTGATGCAAACAAGCCCATAATGAAACAGGCAACAGGCGTGGACAAACGTAGCCCGCTCTGCCCGCTAAATGCCTTTTTAGGTAGAATATAGTTAGACGCCTCAGATCCCTCAGCCTTTCGAATATGTTCACTGAAGATCGAACCAAGGAGCAACATTTCCTTGGGAAAGCAAGGTGCGTGGCTTTGCAATGATTAACCCTTCATGAGAGAGAGAGAGGGGAAGTTGTGACTTGCTGTGTGTGTGTGTGCACACCTGCATGTTTCTGTGCATGGGAGGTTTCCATGAGCATTAAAATCAAACAATAAGAATCCTTCTTACCTGGAAATGTAAACATGATTAAATCCTTATTAAACCAAGATAAAGGGATTCTGACAGAAGAGTACACATTTCTGGAACTTCCCTCGGGGCCTTGAATGATAAGCCTGCGTTGACTTTCTCCATGTGATTCTTACCGGATGGTGTAAGTAATGTTGGCGGCAGCCAGCAAGGTGAGTCCTGTCTTCTTTGATGGATAGGAGTGAGGCCTGAGGATGACTTCAACCAATGTGATGGGGAATATGAAAGTGTGCTGGAGGAGAGAAAATGGCAAATCAGAATGGCAGGGTGTCCGGGGTGCCCATAGTGCCCATGATTCTCTGTTCCCTTCCAGTCTACCTCTTCCACACTGCTAGATGAACCTTTCCAGGTCATGCTCCCTAGATGCCCAAGGACCGACAGTGGCTCCCTCTTGCCTACCACATTAGTCCAAATTCCTCTGTCTGGCTACCAAGGTCTTTGCAATGTATCTCACCCTCTCTCTGGTCCTGCTTATTGCCCACTGCCCGCCGTCCCCACTTTTTTTTTGCAGGGTGGGGCAGAGATACAGTCTTGCTCTGTCACTCACCCAGGCTGGAGTGCAGTGGCATGATCTCGGCTCACTGCAGCCTCTGCCTCCTAGGTTCAAGTGATTCTCCTGCCTCAGCCTCCTGAGTAGCTGGGATTAGTCATGTGCCACCAAGCCCAGCCAATTCCTGACCTCAAGTGATCTGCCTGCCTTGGCCTCCCAAGGCACTGGGTTTACAGGCATAAGCCACTGTGCCTGGCCCTCTCCTAAAACACACACACGCATGCACACACTCATGCATACTCTCACACACATTCACACATTCATGCACAAACATGCGCACTCACACTCCTGTATACATACATTCATGCACATCCATGCACATGCACACACAGGTTCACGCATATTCTCACAGATATTCACACATTCGTGCACAAACACGCACACTCACGCATACACTTAGGCATATTCTCACACATTTGTGCACACACATGCACATGCACACATCCATACTCTTGCATACTCTCACACACATTCATACATTTGTGCACACATACACACACCCACGTGCACACACACCCCTCCTCCGTTAGACCGAGGCCGTCTCCTTCACCCTCCGTTGTGTCTCTTTCACCCTTCGTTGTGCTCAGCATGCTCACTCGCACTTCCAGCCTCCTGTGCCTGCTTCCTCTCCCTGTGTGGACTGTGCCTTCTCTCCCTGGGATTCAAATCCTCTGTGTTCTTGCAGCCAGTGCAATCTTCCATGATACTGTCTCTGAATTTTCCTCTTGGTAATTTCTCTCACTCAACTCGACTGCATTTATATCCTGTGCCATGTAGTCTAGCACTTATGGTGTATATTCGTAAGCTCTGGGGGGCTGGAGAACACGTTCCACCCATCTTTGCGTTTCCTATTGCATTTAGCATGGTGTAACTGAGCTCAGTCCTGCTGAGGGTGGTGTGTGGGGTATGCGTGAGCCTCCCTCTGAAACCCCTATGTCCTCCCCCTCCTTCCCTGCATCACCCCCTCCCTATAACCATCTGTTTTCTTACATCCTCCAAACCCTTAACAGTAGATTTTTTAAAATGACATAATCAAGGAAATAACTTTAGGAATGGTGGTGTTTTCACATGCAAGGACTGCTGCAGCCTACTCCCATCTTGATTATAGAAGCTGACCTGGGAAAGGTCACTGGAGTATGTGTGCCATGTCTTTTCATTTATTGATAACATTTATGAAGTCCTTCTGCCATCCTCTGAGCTTATTGAGAACATCTAGTAGTGCTAGTATTTTGCGTTTTTTGTAGTTTCAGCTGTCATTCCTCCTTCACTCCTGCTCGCCAATTTCCTCAGCTCGTGGCTGCCTCTTTCACCCACAGTCTCCACCTGCAAGCTCTAGCCCCATCTTGTTCCTGAGCCCCAGGGCAGCTGTGTTGGCCCCTTAGTTAGGGTAGTCTCTGGAGCTTGGGAATGTCACTGTGTTTTCATGCCCAGTAGTGCAGTTGGAACTCTGGGTGCTGGCTCTGGGCAGTCCTTGTGCTGTCATTCACAAAAGTCTTGTGCTCAGGAGGCATCCCCAGGAGGCAGTAGCTTCCTCCCATCTGAGCTGAGCTGGCTACGGCAGTTGGAGATCACGATGACCCACAGATGACCAGAAATGGGTCAAGTTTTGGTGAGGCAGGAGAGGGTGAGAAGGACTAAGCTGTAAGTACAGGGCAGCATGGGGTGAAGAGGACCTCTCAGGGTGTCCTGGTCAAGGCTACAGTGGGGTGGCCCAGAGCACCTGGGCATCTCAAGGGCCCTGGGCACCCTGAATTTTAGTGACAACGCCTAGAGAAACAGCATTGCAGACAAGCCATAGCTTTTACATAATTTGCTCAGGGCTGCTCCTGAACACACTGACTGGTTGGAGAAACAAATGAAGGCTCCCAGGCCCTCATCACACCTTGCGTCTTCCTTCAGTCTGATTTTAGGCTGCAGCTTCTGTGTCTCTCCCTCTAATAAAAGAGCACGGCGTCTAAAGGCACACAGTTTCTAATCTAACCCTGGGCTAGTGACCAAATCGCTCTGAACTTCACATTCCCCAATTATAAAATGGGTTCAATAAATAGTACATATCTCTGGGGAGGCTGCTATGGGGATTGAGGTGAGTGTGTGGAATATGCTTGGTCTCTGGCCCTGGAGAGCTTCCGTGAGCATTTGCTAGAGTTGTCACTATTATCAGTGTGACTGCTGTCCTTCATCTCATTGGTGGGCCCAGGGTGGGGTGCAAGCAAGGGTCCGGGATATCCATGGCTTCAGGTGTTTAGATGGACTCTGGCCTGGGTCTGCAAGAGGCTATGGCGTGCCAGCTACTGGAGTATGGTTGTCCCCGGGGCTCCCTCCCCAGCCCACAGCTGGTGCCTACGTTCCCAGCCAAGGCCACCTCAGAGCCCTGCTGATGCTCAGTGACCAACAGGGATGCTCTCTTCATCCAGAGGCCACCTCAGCAGGCAGGAGATGGAGCTGTCTCCCTGCACAGCCACTTGCCTCTCTCTCCCAGCCTTCACTCTGCTGCAGCCAGGAAGATCCAACCTCTATTAAAAACCATTAACAAGCCCATTATACTGGCCATTGATCTGACGAATTTTATTAACCCTGCCCACAATCAGCAGCTCCCGTCCTCTACATGAACAATCATTTGGAACAGAATTCCTGTGGAATAATGTACTGTGTTCGCGTTAGGAGTAAATGAGTTCGCGGTGATTAATGCTTTTACAACAAACAACTCAGGAATGCATGACTGGTCACCTCTTTCAGGAGGCTGCCCTTTGCAAGTGACATTCAATTGGATTTCCAAATGAATTCTCCCTGATGGCTTCTGGGAAATTTACTTCAGTGATGTCATTAGTGATGGGCCATATACCTCGACTTCATCCTAGCTAAAAGGTCTTTGCAAGAATCACATTTTCCGGTTGGGGCTGGGAGTAGCAATGAGGAAAAGAGCCTTCTAAATATTGAACTGCAGTGAAGAGCCAAACATGATGCAATAAGCCTTCCGGTGTTTCAAACGTATGGGCAGTTCACCTCACTTTGACATAAATCATATGACCTTTGTCAGACAGCACATATTTCAATAAAAAAAGGAAGAACAAATTCAGTAAGAGAAAAATCAAATATGCTTTTTGCTTCCAAAAAATCTAATAATTAGGCTGGGATTGACACAAATTAGAATGCTGCCAAAAATTACTGGAAACACTGACTCATTCTGTATTTCAATTAACAGTTTCTCAGTTTCCCTTATAAACAGTGAAGCTGACAAAAATTAATTATCTCAGAGGGGGTAAAATATTTCCTTCTAAAGTAAACAAAACATCATGGGCTGAAACAATGGCATGTGTAAACAGAGGGGATCTAGTGGAGCTATCTTTCCTTGTCATTAAAGTCATCGTTTTGGTAGATTTTCCTTTAAATGTCTCTTTCCAAATGCAATGGTTATAAGGACAGTGTTGTTCTTCTCCCATCCTTTTCCATTCAATTATACCTTCCCCACCATTCTCCATATAATGCCAACTTTCACCTGAATATCTTGGAGTGAGAACTACAAGCATGAAGTATCGATTTAAGTATTAGTGTAATAATCACACTAGATTTGCTGCTTACAAAGTAGCCTTGCAGATAAGTACTAAGATTTACCAGCCCACAGAAAATTTTTGCAAGGTTGCATGAGTGACAACATGGAAAATAATAATAATGATTTGAGCACTTGTTTGTACTCACCCCATACAGGTAGATAAGTGGCTCTATTAAACAATTTCCCTGCATATGAGGCTAAACTTACAGTAGGATGAAGTTTGCCTGACCTTTGAGAAAGAAGCAAGCCTTAATCACTGAGATAACACATGGAGCCAACAGGTCTTTATCACTGTCATAGAGGCTCCAGAGACTGAATCTTTAAGGCTAGGTTGATCACACTCTTATCCTAAGGTTCTTACAGGGCCCAAGAGCACTTAATTTTCTCCAGTGAAAAAAATTCAGAGAGCCTACATATTATAAAATCAGATGATAACATAAAAAAATCTAATCTCCACTTCTTTCCTCTATTTCATTTCCCTTCTGGACTATCTCTTGTGTTGAATTTGAGTTGACCAAGATAAATAAACTGACTTCTACCCTCTCAGATGGGTCATCAAGAGCTTTCTCCTGCAGATGCTGTTTCTATATCACCTGCTGCATATGTGCCTTAATACTCTCTTCTTCTCCTCTATTCAAGCCACATTCTGATCTGAGAATTAGTTCCTGATATTGGCTCTTCCCAAAGTGAGATCCTTTCCTCCAAGTCTCTACAATGACACCTTTGGTTTGCTTATGGTACTAATGGATAAATACTTTTAAGTGACGTTTTAGTGCACTAACAAGATCTCATTTCTGGGTACATTAAGGAGGATTTCTTTTGTTTACAATATATCAAATATATCGTTTTTTAATTTTAAAAAATGGAAGCCTTCACAAAATCTCTTTGGGGAAAACACATGACCAAAATATCAATTAAAACATAAACGTAAATACAATAGACATAGAAATGGAGGCAAAACAAACCTTAATCGAATGCCATCACA